GCTGAAGGCCACTATCAGAGCAACCTGGGCTCTCGTAACACCTGAGCAGTGCCACAGACTGATCGACTCCATGCCACGCCGCATTGCTGCAGTAATTCAGGCAAAAGGAGCCCCAACTAAGTATTGAGTGCTGTACATGCTCATACTTTTCATGTTCATACTTTTCAGTTGGCCAAGATTTCTAAAAATCCTTTTTTTGTATTGGTATTCAGTAATATTCTAATTTTCTGAGATACCGAATTTGGGGTTTTCATTGGTTGTCAGTTATAATCATCACAATTAAAAGAAATAAACATTTGAAATATATCAGTCTGTGTGTAATGAATGGATATAATATACAAGTTTCACTTTTTGAATGGAATTAATGAAATAAATCAACTTTTTGATGATATTCTAATTATATGACCAGCACCTGTATTGCTGGGTGATGTTACTGAAGCAGTGAAAGATCTTTTGTGTTTAAGACTGTCACAATTTGGAAATGTTGCAAATTTACATGTTCAGGCCCCTGCAGAACACTGCTGCAGGCATGTAAAAGTGTGCAACAATTTGATAAACTAAACCTTAAAACATCTTTGGCAAAGGGTCACATCAGTTAATACAGCAGTGCCCTGCTCCACTCTGCCAAAGGTGCCAGTATCGAAATTCATAAAACCCAAGATGGCACCTTCACATTGCTTCTGACCTGTACAAGTCATGTGATCTGATCACAGTACAATGCCAGCAATATAAACTTACAAAGACACAGTCTAATACAGACATATGACACGAAACAAACCCACCTCACAACCAAGCACATAGGTTCCAAATATATTTTATTAGATGTGACTGAAATTTGTGAACAGCACAGGATGATCCTGGTACTGAATAAAACCTGTGATTCACTCTGACAGCAGTTGCTGGAGGACATCCTCTGCAGGAGTGTTCTGACAGTCTGAAGACACCTTCTTCCCTCCTTCACAAAGACTAATCTTGTGTCGCTGCAGAGAAACAGAGCAGTGCAGTGCAGTGCAGTGCGAGGAGGCATCTTTAAACCACGGACATGTCCTGTTCTGTTCCCCTCCTTCCTCCTAGTATAAAAGCATTGTGAACAAAGGCCAAGTAGAGTGTGGTGGTTGTGTTGTCTGTTGGGAGCTTCAAGGCGATGTCCCATTTCCTCCTCATCAGTCATCGTCCACAGTGGGTGTGATGGTCACGCCCCTTCTGATCTGTCCCCAACCAATCAGACTGACAGGAGGAAACAGAGCAGTTGGTCAGATGACAGAACAGATAAAAAACAAAGTACGAAAACAACTGCTTGGGCAAACGTGTACGTGATGAGCTGAGCTGATGCCTAATGAGAAAACAGGCACCCTGGTCCTTACCGCCAGTGCTTCTCCACACGCCGACTCAGAGCGATCTTCTCTCCGACCTCTGTACACACAGGGTTGGTGAGGACAATCTTTGCCAGGTCAGCCTTGACAGCGCTGACGCGGCCGCCTGTGGACAGCGAGCCAATGTTCACCATCAGCACCTCGTTCTTAGACAGTTTCTGGACCTGCAGAGACAACAAGAGAGACAATGCTGTGCTCACCCTGTTCAAGCCAACAGTTTGATTTGTGTTTCTGGTTGATTTCTCAGTATCACTGTGTTCATGAGAAAACTACAGACCCACTTTACAGCTGAAAGGCGACTGAGGGATTTCCTCGAACCATCTTACCACAACACTGCAAGATCGCTAGCGAAATTCAAGGCATTTCCAGGACCCGCTGACAGCCTTCAGCAGATATACTTCTCTTGTAGTTCTGAAGATTTTGGACTACAATTGCTGTTCACAGCTTACCTTAGCTGCCTTCTTGTCTCCCTCTGTGCGGACTCCCAGCAGCCTCCTGAGCAGGAAATAGGAGATCTCCAGCTCGGTGAATATCTCTGGCAGCGCTCCGACGGCGCCCAGCACCTGACCGACCATACGATCCGCACGGCACAGTGTTGGGTCGATCTTAGTGCCCACACCTGCACACAAACACAGAATGCATCACGTAACGTGCCAGGACTCTTGTTTTGTTGTTTGTGCTACTCTTTGTTTCCTGTCTTGTTCATATGTGTTGTTCCTGCTTTTGCAATGACCCATAATGAAAATTGTTTAAAATCTAAAGTTAAAACTAAGTTTAGAAAAACCGTCCTGCATAAAGAGGTTAAAAGGGCAGGTGTTTGAGCACCACCTGGGGTCTATCTGTGCACATGCTTGATGACCCACATAAGAAGGTGAAATGCGTGAACATGGATTTACCAATGAGGCCTCCGGGCGCAGCGTACTGCAGGTCGTTGTGCTCAGCAAACAGAGACACGATCTTTGAGAAGATGGGTTTGCACATCAGTTTGCCTTCCTGGTCCTTGGACACGATACCTGGGCGCACCTCGATCTCCTGACCCACCTAGGGGTCATGCAGAGGAACAGGACAGTTTAGACACAGTGCAACTCAAACTATAGGTGACGGCTCCTTTATGGCTTCAGAACAGTTTCTAAGTTACCCTCGGTGCAAACAAGTGCAGTGCTCTGCCTGACCAATTACTGAAGGTCCCACCTCCTCTCTCCTCATCTGTCCTTCTCTGAGCTCTGTCTTCCCTCCCTAATCCATGTTCCCTCTCTGTGGAGGTAAACAAACACTTAATAATTATATGGATTAATATAGACTAGTTATGCCTGTATTTTTTTAATAGTGAAGTTTTTTGCAGGTGCTAAGTTAAGTCTTCAACAGTTGTGAATGGTGCAATCAGCGTCAAAGCAGCTGTCAGTCATCAGCTCCTGATGAACTGAAAGGACAGCAGATGGGCAAACGGTCTTCACCGGACATCTCTGATAGAATGAAGTTCTATATCTGAACTGGCCTTAACTGCATCTGTGACGTGCTGTGTTATTGATGAGCTTCCTGGCTAAGTCACTTGATTATGGGTGGGGTGGGGTGGGGGGGTTAATGTTTTGCTGTGGCAGGGCGCCACTGAGAAATGTTACCAGCTAACCCTGCAATGGAATAATAATGGGGGGGAAGAAAGAATAATCTAAAATCCACTACAATTTAATGTACAATTTTCAGCTATATTTCCATCATCCCCTTAGAGAAATTAGACTAATACAGAAAATGGTGCCAATTTCTAAACGGTGAAGGTGTTATTATACAACATAGTTACAAAGTTGATGTTAGTGCATTTCAGCATCCATTCTGAAATCTGATCCCCAGTACTGTCCACTGGAGCATGAGCATGAATCTCACCTTCAGCACACCCTTCAGGATGCTTCCTCCTGCCACGCCTCCCTTCAGGTCATCGACTTCACAGCCAGGCTTGTTCACGTCAAACGATCTGATGACTGAAACACAGAAGATGCTATGAGACAGTTTCTGGGTTTCATTTGTATTTTATTCAACACAGTTAAGTGTTTTCTGCCATAAAACTAAAGCAAACAGGACAAAGACAGAGTGAAGTGCAAGAAATGACAAGCAGACAGAAAAACAGTTAAAAGATGTTTTGTTTTTTACCGATGAGTCTGGGCTCTGAAGTGAAGTCTCTGAGGGGAACTGGGATCTTTTTGACAATGTATTCACAAACCACCTCAATGTTGTACTTCAGCTGGGCTGAGATAGGAATGATGGGAGCGCCCTCTGCCACTGTGCCTGCAGGAGAAAATGACAAACATCAGCTTTGTGTGCTAGATCTTCTGGTACTTGGTTGCTCTGGAAGGAATCCCAGATGGATCCGTTCAGTTTACAGTTGAGTGTGGGTTCATGCTGACTCACCCTGTACAAAGGCAAGGATCTGTTCATATTGCTCTTTGGCCTGGCTCTCCTTCACCAGGTCGATCTTGTTCTGGAGAATGAGAATGTGCTTCAGCTTCATAATTTCTATGGCTGCCAGATGCTCTGACGTCTGGGGCTGAGGACACGACTCGTTACCCGCTGAAAGGCAGAGACAAAACTCAGATTTCCAACAACGCTAGGAGTGATTAACACCAATTAAAGCAACGTCTGTCTTGTTCAGTGGTGTTGAGCAGTGAGAGATGTACCAATCAGCAGGAGGGCAGCATCCATCACAGCTGCTCCGTTCAACATGGTTGCCATCAAAATGTCATGACCAGGACAGTCCACGAATGACACGTGTCTGGAGAAAATAAGAGAAATGCCACTAATGTATGTTTACAGTCAAACTGATCCCAAGGTCACCTGAGGAAATTATGAGCTTAATATGCAAAACCCTAAACTGAAATGCCTTCCTCGGTGCTCTCTCTCCAGCTTTACCTGACCAGTTTGAAGTTGCCCTTGGTGCTGGGGATGTCTGTGGGAAACTCATCAGGGGTGCTGCTGCCACATGACCTGTAGCACTCTGGCCTGGGACAGCTGGGGTCATCCAGTTTATAGATCTACAGCGTGTGAAAAAAGAAAAACATGGAAGTAACTATCAGCTTCTCCTAGTAAGAGTCTAGCAACACATATTAGCATATGAGAGTGTCACAGATGATTTCCAACGTTTTACTTCTGAGAAAAAAACAAACCCTACTGACTTATGTTGTTGCATGCAACAGTGTATGCTACCAACAATAAACAAGTTTCCTTTCAAACTGTTAAGGTTTATATTAGAAGTCTCATGCAAATAAACAAACAGTGGCTGCTGCTGCTTCCTATCTGCAGGGGTCACCTGACTTTACTAGACAAATGAAAATGTATCAGGTCTGAAAACATATCCCTTCGAATGAGATGAAAGACATTTAAATTAATCACTGCACACGCATGAGAAGTGCTCAAACTCTAAGGTAACTGATGAGGGCTTACCTTAGCATTAGCATATCCCAGTTTGATAGTAATGTTCCTCTCCAACTCATTCTTAAATCTAACGGTGTGCACACCAGAAATGGCCTTCACCACTGTTGACTTCCCATGGGCCACGTGACCAATGGTGCCTAGGAGAGAGGAATACAGACATCACAACAGCCCCTCCTCATTTGTCAAGCCCAACTTTCACTGGTGCTGAACTGTCATTTTTTGACTTATTTCCATACCTATGTTGATTGTGGCCTGTCTGCTAATGATCTCTGGTGAGAGAGGTGTCAGAGTGGACACATCCTGCCAAGAGAGCACAAATTAGACACACTGTAAAAACAAACGATTTGATAAATCTTCACTTGCAAGCACAGCAGCACTCCATACAATGTTTCAGCTAAAACCAACATGCCTCCTCAGTTTACATGGCTAACTGAAACAGTCCTGAGTACTGCTGCTGCTGCTTTATGACCCACCACCAGACTTTGCCTCTGCACTTCATAAAAATGCACTGGTGTTTATGAAGCACATGAAACCAAGCTGAAGGTAGTTTTGGTAGAAGAACTACGCCAGCTCTGAAACCTTTGCTAGAAGCTCAGGGGCCAGCATCAGGCTGCACTCAGTGTCTTCACATTTATATCAGATCTTTCTGTCATATTAGCTGTAAAGGGAACGCTAAAAACCGGGCTCATCACAACTGTCTAGGAAAAAAGCAGAGCTCGCTTTTAGGGTCAGTTTATAAACTGTTAAAATAACAAAGCATGCTCTTTGTCCTATATCTACGATGAAAACCAACAGATTAATAATTTGTTGATCCCGAGGGAATTCATTAACTTTACCAAGTGACTGTATTAACTGCAAATATAAGACGGAAGAAAGCCTGCAAAAGTGAAAA